GAGGTATACCCTCAAGTAATTTCTTTAGAAGCTGTAACACATGTAGGAGCATATTTTGAAGAACAGCCAAGGAAAAAAATGGTACTTTTTAAAAATGTCATTTATAAACGTCATTATAAACGTCATTATAAATGACATTAAAAATGTCATTTATAAACGATAATCATGGGTGGAGAACGTTTGGGGTATGGCCCTTTTTTTCACAACTCTAGGTACTTTACTCTGACTCAGATGCTGGAACTGACCACTTGGGAATGCCAGTCTATTTGGACCATGGTCGGTGTCTGCACACCGAGTATGTGGTGGACAGTGAGAGCACCCATCCTTCAGGAGTTCTCGCCATGATTCTACTCTAAGTATCCCGGAAGAAGGTCTGCATTGAAAAGCCTATCAGTGCTACAATCAAAAAGCGGGCAGAAGAATTTTCCAATAAAATTATTTCTTTAGAGAAAGGACTGAGAGGATTCCACAGTGAAGCAATGGGTGAAGGGAGGGGATTCTGAGCTTAGACATCTTCTTTCTTGTGTTTCCTTAGATTTTGATTCTGGTCTTGGCTTCTCAGAATTGCCCACTTTTGTGCAGGTCACTCATACCAGGCAGGGTCATGGAGGAGAAAATCTAAGTCCAAACCAAAGAATCTTTCCATGTGACAGTCTAAAAATGTTACCTAGACTGATAGGCTCATAGTTAATAGATACTAGCATTAAAAAAAAAAAAACACGGTTCATATCCAAAACTTAGGTGAAAAATATTGGAAGGCCAGGGAAAACAGGATGACAGTTTCTGCAAAAACATTAAAAACAGAATTATCGGGCCAGGGATTTAGCTCAGTGGTTCCACCGCCTGCCTTACAGGTACAATGATCCGAGTTTGATCTCTGGTACCAAAAAAACAACAACAAAAAAATAGAATTATCATATGGTCCACCAATCCAACTCCTGGTATATGGCCAAAAGAATTAAAAGCAGGATCTCAAATAGATAATTATGTATTCATATTCATTAGCGTTATTCACAGTAACCAAGAGGTGAAACAACCCAAGTGTCCATCCATGGCGGGATGGATTAAGAATATGTGTATAGCTGGGGATTTAGCTCAGTGGTTCCGCTGCCTGTTTACACACGCAGAAGGACCTGAGTTCGATCCCTGGTACAAAAAAAAAAAAA